GACTCTACCATTTTACTGGGGTACATTTAATTATCTACAGACTATGATGCAGGGGACTAAAAAATGATTTTGGAAAATAACGTAAATCCTGAGAAATTAAAGACGAGGCACATATATAATTTTTTTTTTCTTCTTTTTCTCAGTTACACATAACCACCCGAACCATTGAAACAAAAGGCCTCTTTTCTTTCTTAATGTGAACTTAAGTAACGTGGAAAAAATATAGAGAAAGATATAGCTATTACACAATTTTACTTATATTTTTGTTTTTTTCTTGTCCATTCTCACTTTCTTTTTTTTTTTTTTTTTTTTTTTTGTTTTTTTTTGGCCCCACAAAATTTATGAAAGTATGCTGGTTTTTAAAAAAGTACATTATAGGCCAGACATAATAATAGTTTTGATATATGTATAATTCTTAAGTGTAGCACCTCTCAAAGGGCAAAAAATCACACAAGAATTTACAGGGACTTGGAGTTCACCAACATGAATTAAAATAGAGGAGAGAACACAAGTTCTATACACTAGACAAAATTACAGTAATCTACATAAATGTTAACAGATAACCACAGGTAAGAATGACAATAATTCCTTCTTAGAATAGAAGAACTATTTTTTTTTCTTTTTTCTTTTTATTTATGTATATATTTTCTCATTTGTCAAATGGAAAAAAAATCAAGAATAGGGGACAACCTCAAGGCTAGAGGTAAAAAAAGGAAAATCATTATAACATAAAATGTCAAAAACTTGCACCTAAGGAAGCTCTTGGTAATTTACAAAGGTTTCTGAGGTGCAATTTTAGATTGTGTGTATATAATTTATGTAATGTATATATTCATATATATATATAGATTTCTCTATATGACTGAGGTGTCCCATCTATGGAAACTGTATTATGGAATTTAGAATTAAAATTGCATTCTTTTACAGGGGAAACAATATATTAACACATATGACAGCCAAGGATCCAATGGTAATATAAATTCATAATCATTAAAAACAAAAATAACATATAGCACTGCCAAACAGGAAAACATGTTCTAATCACCCAAATCAAGTAATTTTTTCATTTCAATCAGCTGGGGAAAAATAAGAACAGAAAGTCAGTTTGCTTTACTGGAAAGAGAGAACAGCCATTCACAAACAGAGAGGAGATATTAATAAACCTCTATGTTCACTTAGGCCAAAAGGCATGAAAACTAAGGAATCCCAAGCTAACATGAGCTACATGGTTACAACTATCATCTTTTTTAGTTATATATTCATTCTTTTCTTCTATTTTTCTCAAATTCCTCCTTATATCATCTTCAGAATCATCATATATCTCCTTCACAATTTTCTTGGTCATCATTTTCACCTTGGTTTAGGATGGATGAGGAGATATCCCCCCTAACCCTTTCCCCCTTTCCATCACCTACCACCCTCAGACGCATTAACATGGGTGACCGTCGAGTGAGCTACGAAATGGAGGAGGTTCTTCATCGGATGTCAGAGATGTTAGCCTTCGAGCCAAAGATCCTAAGGAGTTCGTTTTCATAATCTTCGATATTACGCTTCATCAGATCCATGCAAGGTCCAAGGAGGCGCTCGAAGGCTTCCACATCAAGGACTGGAATGGAAGGCAAGTGTGAGGGCAAGAGGTAAAACTTACTCAAAAAAAAAGAAAAAAAAAAAAAATCATGAAATAAAGAAAGTAATACTGAAAACAAATTTATGAAAATTATACAAATAGATCACATAATTGCAATCAAAATATATATTAAACAACTGATATGATAACCCTTAACCAATAAACCCAGGCTTCAAACAACTCATACCCTTCAAGTGGGCACTTTGCAGACATGTGATCAACAGATCCTAGGGCATGTCTGAGGACATTTTGATTCTATATAGGCTTGGTTGAAACTTGAGTATGGCAAGCTAAGGGTTAAAATGTGCAAAAATTTGGGGTAAAGATGTGGTGGTGGGAAGTGTACACATCTGTGAGGAATGGACAAGGCGAATGAATCTTCTTGCTTGTCAATCACATGACCACAGACTTGCCCAAGTTCCCAAGGGCTAGAAAATTATCCTCACAAAATACAATCATTTAATAAAAAAAATATAAAAAAAAGGGAAAAGGAAGCTAAATATGATCATATTTCATAAATGCTTAAAATAATTATAAGCCTATTAAAGGATAGTGCATACTATACTTACAAGCAAGTTTGGCTTTCCCACATGCATACACTGAAGCTGCTCGTGCCTTCTTGGTCACCAGAGCAAGCTCCCCAAAATAGCCACCAACTGAAACTCGACTGATCTGTAAATGAAAGACTTATATTAGCAAATGAGCTAAACATTTTTGGTACCCTTCTTAACTATTGTCAAATGATGCTTAAAAAATAAAGAGAAGCACAAAGGTGCTACATATGCTGCTATAGAAAAAAAGCTAATCTGAAACCATGTCTAATATAATATGTAGGTCCATTGTTGTACATGATGAAATGGCAGAAAGGTCAAGAATGACTCAAAGAATAAATAATAATTCTGAACTGTTTCAACCTTGTTCTCAAAATAAATGTGTGTCAGCACCAACTAAACTTGTCGAAATGGAATAAACAAGAGAATAACAGAGGACATATTAGAAAAAAATCTATTGTTCAAATTTTATCAACTGGAAATCTTTCTCTAAACCAAAGCCTAGATGCATATGAGCAATATGAAACACTGAACCCTATGAACAATGTGAAATAGGAACAGGTACACAGAAAATTAAAGAAAAAAGATGACAAAGCCTGGAAAAACAACAATGCCTACGAAAAAAAATCCTATGGGAAAGAGGAAATACAAAAATGTAACAAGAAGAATGAGAGAGAGAGAGAGAGAGAGAGAGAGAGAGAGAGAGAGAGAGAGAGAGAGAGAGAGAGAGAGAGAGAGAGAGAGAGAGAGAGAGAGAGAGAGAGAGAGAGAGAGAGAGAGAGAGAGAGAGAGAGAGAGAGAGAGAGAAAAGCCACAAGTTACCTCCTTCTCCTGGTTTTCTGAGTTGGTCATGGTGATGCGCACAGTGCCATCCTCAAGGAAGTACATGCCATCTGCCGAGTCTCCTTGCATGATAATCTGCTCACCTGGACTGTACACCTTTGGCACCAGGGCATCAGCCAGATTCATCCTTTCATATTTCTGTAAAGGGAGGAAAAGAAAGATAAAAAAGGAGCATAAACATATAATAACTTCACTGCCTATTTAAAATCACTGTCTAATAATTTGTCATATAAATAAACATCTTCATATAAAAAGTAATGAAATACATACTTTGAAGTTAAAAATCACTCTAGCTCAACATGAACTGCAGTCTACCCATCTCCAACTAGTGAAAAATCTGCTCAGATTTACATATACTGAATTCTCTCTCTTCTATTTTTTTTAGTATAAAAAACCTTTGTCAATAAAATTCAATGTAATGAATATAATAATTCCAGAAATCTTACCTCCAGGGTTTTCAGCATGGGCACATTCTCAAGGAGGGACTCATACATTTTCCTCTTCTTACAGGCAGACTTGAGCAGAATCCTCCTGAAGGTCTGGCGATCCATGGCCCACAGAGCTCCTGGGGTTACAGCTTGGATAGTGGCAGCTCGGGGCAGGTTGTACATTAGTGCCAGTTCTCCAAAGCTACCTGCGTTGTCATACTTCCCGACTAATCGTGGTTCTGAGTCACTATCAGTCTTCACATAGATATTGAAGACGCCCCTGAAAAATTTGAGGACAAATATGAGTCTTTCACGAACTATTGAGCCAGGGAGAAAGACCCTGGCCAAAATTACATCTCTTGTAAAGAAAATAGAATTATTGATATCCTTTTATACCTTGTGGATTTCCAATTTTCATTCACTAATGAGCAGAAAACAATAGAAAAATACTACTATTCATCCAGGAAATAATATATCCAGCCAACAAAAAACTACAAAATGAATCGAACCCATACCCCAAATTAATCACGCTGCCACAATATAACATGGCACACAAATACACTACATAAACCTTTCCTCTGTTCTTTGCCTTTACAACCTTTTACCAATCAAGCTGAAAGTCCAAGTCTCTGGCCCATCATTACTTTCCTATATTCCTAACAATGCCTCCAGTCTAATTAGAAGAAACCAATGGAATGGTTACCTCCATTGTGGACTGACAATGCAAGCTGAGCAATGGGAATCTGGTTAAATCCAATGTGAAGATGCATTTCCTAGATTTATATTTCCATAAATTTGGATGCAGTTTGTGAGCATTAAGTGCAGTTTATGTGACTTCCCGTAATTATGTTTATTGCAAAGAGAAGTAAAGAAACTTCTTATGCAATTCAAAATGGAAAAGGCAAGGAGAGTGATATCTGAGTGAATGAAGAAAAATGATAGTGCAAACTGCAGTGAAAGACCGAAAAAATACATGAAGGTCAGAAAAGTTTGGGGGATGAGGAAACTTGCTTGTGAATGGAGTGTCTTCCTCCTTGTAGAGCTAATAAAGATGAAAAAGACATGGAAAAGGAAGGAAAAGACAAGATGTTCAAGAAGACCATTAGGATATATGACATCTGTAACATACATAAAAAATACTTACGATTCTATAACATAAAAGTTATCTCCATCGTCGCCTTGCTTGATGACATTTTCCCCTGCAGTCACCTTCCTCTCGAACATTGCGTCCAGCACCTCGCCCATTTGATCCTAGAATGCAAGGAAAGAATACATGAGGGCGTGGGTTGGACATATCATTTGGGATTTATGTTTGCTCGAAAGATAGTGGCGAGGGAAAGGAAAATGGGACACTGCGCTGAATGGAGGGAGGGAGAATAAGGGGTAAGAGATGGCGGGATAGGAATAGGGAAAGGAAGAGGGGAAGAAGGGAAGAAGGGAAGAGAGGAGAGGAGAGGAGAGGAGAGGAGAGGAAAGAGGAAAAAGAAAGAGAGAGAGAGAGAGAGAGAGAGAGAGAGAGAGAGAGAGAGAGAGAGAGAGAGAGAGAGAGAG